TGGCTTGTAAGCCCTTGTTTCAAAGTGGCTTTTACGGCGATTTAGCGCGAACCTCCTAGGCAGAAGGGCCGAGCTTGTAGGTGGATTCTGTATTTTCTTTTCGTTTAAAACCACCAATTCCCTCCAAACACACCGAACCATTTGGAGAACAATCCACTTAGGTTTCCGGCAAGTTTGTGAGGGAGCCGAGTACACTCGTCGCATTGATTAGCTCATTGGCGGCATTCCTGATGTCAGACATCAACTTACGACGGAAGTGCTTGCTTAGAGTGAGCCAGTCTCAAATCCCATACTTCTAGGGGACACTTCCCCATTCTTTCCAGGGATCCTTCTTCCAGAAAACGATCAGAACTCCAGGGGAAACAGCGATCTGTTTTTAAAAAGAACGATGGTTGAAAGGAATGGAAAAGGAGTCAATCCCTAGAATACTGCATGTGGGAAGAAAGCCGAGTGCCATGGATTGAAGCTGCCTTCCGCTTGATCCAGCTGGCTCCTAGTTGGGTTACCTGCCTGGCAGGGTACAGGGTACCTATATGTGGGCATGGGTCAAAATTCAACCATCAGGGGACCGCAAGTTTTACAGCTTGGTTCCATTTTACCAGGTTCCATTTTGGGTACCCATTTTTGACCCACAGCCATGTGTCCCCCTCTCTTGATAGAGACATACCCCACAGCATTTGTGAGCACGGCAAGTTTCGCTTGCATTCCTGCCCGTGGATCAACCAGCAGAGCATCCCAGTCATGTGCCTTTTGGTCGTCTAGTTTTGGTCTGGAGTGCTGGGTCCATCATGGTGATAGCTTATTTCAGAGGGGGGCTAAAGTTACCTTTGAGAGGGGTGTCCTCTTCATCACGTTTTAGAGGGACATGTGCAGTTGAGAATGTCGCTGAAATGGACCAGGACTGGGTCAAGCAATCTAGAAGCAGCCTGTTCAACTGTCCTACCTTTCCAGAAACACGCATGCAAGTGCATAGAGCCCTTTTGGAAGATGTTCGTTGGTGGGATGCTAAGGCTTGCACAGTGCTAGATTAGTGCTTCCTAATACAGCGCTTCGAGCGCCGAAATGGGTGAGCTTCCTCGCTCATTGAGGCCTTTTCCCGCGGGCAATCACAAGGTTCCGTATTCCATTTGACACCAAGCACCAGGGTTCCTGAAATCTTGCACAGGCCATTGACTCTGCGAGAGATAGGGAGGATCAAGGTAGAATGATTGCTCAACCAGCCAACTTGGCAACAAAAAGTGCAATTTGTCCTCAATCGCGAGATGAAATAGTTTCTTCTGGCGTCCAAGACTCTTCGAGATTTCAATACTTTCGAAGAATGGCCCTCAGGGGCTGAACCAGCCTTCGAAACAAGGCTGAATAACTTTGCTGTGAGAAAAATGTTGTGTTTCCTTGTGCGAAACGAGTTGCCGAAGGCCAAAGCAGTCCAAGGTGTTGAGAGAAACCGGCACTTTTGAGGACCATTTCCCGCTGCCGTCGTGTGCCGCCTTTGCCCGTGGAGGGGGGGGTTCCCAAAAAGGTCCTGAGCTGTTGCAAAGCCCTCCATGCTCACAATTCATCCATAGTTGCCCCCCCAAGCGTAACCCACTAACCGTGTTTTTTCTTTTTCTCTTTTTGTTTTTGATGAGCCACGTGCCCGAAACCAGTTGCTTGTCGCCCTTGACAGGTGAAGGTCTTGATGTTGGATTGCAACCACCTGGGCCCGAAGCTCCCTGTCGATGTCTTTGCCGGACCCTTGCCTGGCGCCCAGAACCGGCGTACTTGATGCGGCGACCGGAGAAAGTCAGAAACCCGCGCTCTGGCAAGTGACCAAAGCGAGTCGGAGATTCCCGTTGGAGTGGGGAGACCATCTTTTGGGGATGTCTTGCCTTTTTTGAGGAAAGCCGCTCTGCTTGATATTATGTTTTTTTTGTTTGTTTTTTAAACGAGCAGTTTAAATCAATCCGAAGTTGGCATCAATGCATTGATGCCCCCTCTGCCAGCATGTTCCAGGGATGTGCCTTCGTACCTTTCATTGCACAGGGCCCCATGTCCGGGGCACCTTTTCGACGGGGTCTCTGCTTAGTTTCGTTTGTTTGGTCTGAAGTGTGGTCACAGTAGGCACCTACTTCGCCAGCTTTGTGGCACATTTGTGGAAGGGGTGTATTTGTGAGGCCCACTTCCAATTGGGAGATTAACGAGAGCTTGGCATGGCACCTGCCCCTGAGTCCACCGCAAGTAGGACATGCGTGAATACATGTCAATCTGCAACCAGTTCCTGGCCTGTTGTATCCCATTTGCACCAGAAAAGCGGTCAGGCCGTGAACGGCAAGCAGGGCCTGCCGGTTGTTTCTATGCGTGGCTCTTTTCCACAGAGTCATCACCGGTTGAGTGTCACATGCGCCTTGTGCATAGTGCTCGGTGCCCTGGTTACTTCAAATGTAACTTATGACAATTACATAATGTATATACAATATATAGAATTACACATGTATTTTTTCAGCCTATGGCTTTCTGGTGACTTTCTGAAAGCCGTCCGAGGGCTCGCTGGCACGTTGCTTTAGGTCAGAAAGCCTCGAGGAGCTAGACCTCACAGGAAACGGCTTGGAGGCGCGCGCGTTACCAGGGCGGCTCACTGGCGACTGGTGGGTGTTCCTATTTTGGTCCAGTTTTTTCCACGTAGGCGTTTGCTCGATTTTGGTTCCTGGCCCCTAGATTTGGTCGATGTTTTCTTTGGGCAATGCAGTTGTAGGGTCCACGAAGGCGTTTTGATCCACTTTTGTTTAGGCGGCTCAACTTCCAGTTTCAGCACTTCGGGCTTTCCGCGGTTGATGCCGAGACAGGGAACAAGCAGTGCCCTGGCGTGTGGAACCATCAGCAATCTATGGGTTGTGGTTAGGTTTCAGTTCGGCATCCCTTCAACTCAGGGATTCAGCTGGCCCCTTGAACGGACTCCCGGTCGCTTGCATCAAAGCCATCATGGCATCCGAAAGCCCGTTTGTTATATCACCTCATCAAACGGATCATCCAGTACATTTTTCACTGATTTTGGTTGGGTCACTCAACCAACCATCATCTGTTAAGCAACCGACCAACATCAGTTCAGCATCCAACAGAAATCAGTTCAGCAACGAACCAAGAATCAGCAATTTACTTCGGTCCGTTTGCTCGTCAGAGGCGAACCAATGGCGTCGGTTTTCCGTCAGGAGCTGCCTTCCTCCGTGGCCCAGCTGTCCAAGCTCGCCATGCCCTCTGAGCGAGCTGGACCTCCGAAGCCGTGCGAAGGATTTCTGGACCCCGGGCGCCCAAAACGTCGAAACATGGGGGGTGAAAGTCCCGGGGGTTTCCACCTGTTCACAAAGAAACATGGGAGGAAGTTCGGGGGGTTCACGTGAGAAAACAGTTTCCAAGCTGTGATTTTTTTTCTTGTCAGGGTGTCTAAAGCCGAGAAGCTCAAGCTGTTCTAGACAGTTGGTTCAGGTTAGGTTCAGGGATGGCAATCAGCCCTTGAAGATCTCACCGCCCAACGCCCACGCAGGCCTTTGTCTTCATTTGGGTCTTTGGCTCTGACTTGATTTTTCACTGCTGGCTGGGCACCTGTCCTTTGCCGGGTTGCCAAGAACTATTGGTCACCTGTGGGTTAGTGAGCTACGAAAGCAAGAGAACACGTCACTGGATCCATGTATATGATCGTCCCCTGCCGGTGTCGCAGCATTGTTTTTGGGCTGGTATTTGTTTAGAGTGGTCCCCCAAGCGTGTTCTTCCGGTACTATCAATCCCATTCACCTGGCTGGTCAATGTGCTGAACCTTAGTTGACCCCCTTTTTGGACCCTCTCTTAAGGCGGCACGAAATGTCAGGGTTCGCTCAAGGTGGCTCGATGAGAGCCATTGAGCCGGGAACTCCCTTGGTCTGAAGCACCAGAGAGCACGTGAGCCATTCGCCGCTCGAAGCGTTCGGCGCCAACTGGCGGCAATTCAACCCAGGGTGCAACATAGCCTTATAGACAGTATAAGGAGGCCAGATACCTGGGCGATATCTATGTATATATATATATGGAGCGCTTCGGCAAAGCTGGGTCATGTTTGTCGTTTGGTCCAGACACCCTATTGCACCCCTGGAAAGAGGTGGGCAATGCAGCCCGTTGCCATCGACCCTTCACGGTTTTCTCCGAAGCGAGGGGCAGGGAACTCTGAACCCCAGCGGTTCTGAGCAGCTTGTTTGCCTTTTGCTTGGAAACGCGTTGCCGAAAAGTGGCCCATACCAGGTCCGCCAGTAGTGCCCTTTTACCCGCTTTTTTGGGGGGAGGGTTCCCCTACTAAAATAGACTACAGAAAAAGTTGGTACCAACTTATTCTAGCCTCTCTACTGGAGCACCTAGACTTTGAGGCAAAATGTCAGCAAGACTTGGTGTCCAAGGTCCGCACCACAACTGATGTCCGCTTGGCCACCCTAAGTTGTGGGGTCGATGAAGGTGTTCTAGATTTCCCAGAGGATCGATGAACCTGCCGACAAGCCACAAGTGAAAAGCATTGAAAAGCTGTCAATATCCAAGTTTCTTTTTTGGGTGCGTCTTTTTCTAGCCCCCCACCCCAAAAAAGCAATATGGTGGTTTGCCTTTTGGTTTGCCTTCAAAGACCGACCGCCACTCCGCTTCATGGTGCTGCTTGCCGCCTCGTGCGGCGGAGGGCTTGTCGCGGCCGCGGGCCTGCTGTGGTGCAGGCGTGAAGTGGTCGCGGAAGTGTTGTGAAGAAAGTTCATGACCAAAGCATTAGGTGTTTAGGGTTTAATGAGCTTTTCCATCCAATCCACTTAACGTTAACCTTTTCAACAGGGACCTGAGCACAGACCAGGTTAGACTCTGTAGTGAATTGTCATGTTCGGACATCCCATGTCAAGTAGTTAACTGCCTGGACACGAGGTTGCCGACTGGTCGAATGATCCATGCCACGGGTGCAGATTGGGGGCTCGATTCGGCTGCCAGTGCAGTGGACATGTGCGATCTGTTTTGTGCAACGATTCATGGCGAGTGGCTGCAATGCTTAGTTGAGATGCATGATGCGCGCCTGTTTGACAGTTTTGCGAGTTGATATTACGTCGTCCTTTCTGGAGCTATCTTTGAGCAGTTTTGTGAAAGGAATATTACGCATAGGTATCCAAGGCACTTGAGGGGAGAACAAACAGCAGGTCATACGCATTGAGCCACTTTTGTTAATAAAGAATATGGTGTGACCATCTGTTTGTTTGATGGTTATACGATAGTTTTACAAAGATAGCTTGTGTTTTTTCTTGAATGCTGTGGATGGACAAAATCCTGCACCACCTAAGAAATACCTGGAATGATGATTCTGGTTTCAAGCATGGTTTCGAACTGGTGCAGGGTTTTGTCCATCCACAGTATGTTCGCTGTCCGGGTGAGAGCCAGACCCAAGTCACCGATCGGTCAGGGTCAATCGCGAAAAACAAAAAAAAAACGTCGCTGGTGGACAGCGTGGGGTATGCGAGAGCTCCAGCCAGCCGATTCCTGGTGGACCTAGAGCCCAGGGTCTTCCAGCCATTTTTTGGGGAAGGCTGGAATCCATTTTTGTTTTCAGAACCCTCCCACCAGCGAACATGGGTTTGTGCGCAGTCCCCTGTAGAAGGACGACTTTCCTCTTGGAAAGGGCCTTTTTGCACGTCCATGTTAGTTGGGGGGAGGGAATTACTTTAGATTTTAGGTGCACTGAATGCAAACCAGCGTCAAGATATCCGGATTTGTGTTGCGCGGGGGAAGGCTAGGTCAGCGAGGGCGCTCCATAAGCCTCTCCAAAGTCCTGGCCGCTCAGCTCAAGTTACACGAGAACCCGCACTCAAAGCACTGCAAGTGGCAAAAGTTGACCAGGGGCCAAACGTTGACCACTGCAATATCGCGGCAAATGGGCTGACCCTGACCTTTGTTTTCAAGTCTTGGCGCGCGAATCTCAAGATACTCACATGAGCAAACAACCAAATGAGCAATCCAAATCCCCACACCCACACCCCCTCCCCCCCCAACAGAAAAAAGGAGCCACCCAATCAACCCGTGTCTTCTTCAGGAAGCCAGTACAATGAGCAAGGGCTCTTTCAGCGCATAGGGCGAACCCAGCAACCAAACCATTGGGTGTTGCCGGGCTTTCAGTAGCCAACGTGAAACCATTGTGTTCAGCATCAGACGATATGGATTCGTTGTAGGTTGCTCCTGGGTACATCTAACTTTAGCCTTTTGAGCCCTTGGATTTGACAAGCACTCCCCAACCAAGCAACAAATTAATATCCAAAGAAGGAAGTCTTTGCAACTTTTAAGGGTCAAACACCAACCCTTGATTTGTTCACTACTCATCAATCAGGCCCGTTTTTTTTTGTCTGTTTGTTTGTTTGTTTGTTTGTTTGTTTGTTTGTTTGTTTGTTTGTTTGTTTGTTTGTGTTTGTTTGTTTTGACAGAATCCCTTGCAGAACTACCAACACAAACACACCATAATTTGAAATATCTCTCTAGTAAACCCGAGTTGAGCACATTTCTTTACCGACCAGCACCAGTTTCTGGCAGCGTATGGGGCGACATGCTGCGGGGCCTATCCACGGACAGCCCCCTGGAATTCACTGCGGATGCCATCGTGGATGCTGTTCCCCGCTGCTCGGCAGTGCAACGGAAACGGTGGCAAGTGGGTGTTTGTTCTTTTCTTTTTTCTGAGGGAACCCCTTCTTGGTTGGTGTTGAAGGCAAATCAAAAGGAAGCCAACCATTCTGGGGGCCTCCCCACAAAAACAGACACACAAGCGTCAAGGTTTTACAACCAGACCCTGATCCTCCTTTAAAGGGAAGCCAGGCTCAACCCCGACAGGCCACATGTTGTGTTCCATTTGTTTGAGACATTTCTGGAACATCACCTTTCGAGCCATGGTCATTTCCTCTAGGGTCATGTCTAGTCATTGGGGACCCAGCCCAGGCTGCTTCGATCCCCATGTTTAGCCTTGTGATCGAGTGGAAACAATGGGGCAGGGTCGAAGAAGTCGGGGTCGAAGAAGCATCCCCGACTCCCGTGTCAACTTGGCTGTGGGAATATGATGGAAAATAAACAGAAGTTATTCAACAACAATTGCTATGGACACTAGCAAAAGAGGATGACAATTCAATGGGTTGTTCAGGATTACGAATTGGAGGTGTGGATATTTTTTGGGAGCCAATTGTCTAAGGGATATTGCCCGCCCTCATGTGAAGATGTTGTAGCTCAACCTCGAAATGCCAGTCCTGCAAAGACCCTTCACCACGCACTCAATCATTTATGTCAGGAAACGGGGATACTCACGAGAAAGCCATGTATCACTTCTCGCACACAGAGGGGGAGGGAGGTAGAGGAGGGTGTGGTCGGAGACATGTTTGTCCTCATGAGATTCAGCTTGTTGTTCTGTAGATTCTGCTACTACTTAATAGTAGCTGGAAAAAACATGTTGTTTTGCCAGCATCCCAAGAGTCTAAACGAAGATTGGAAGGGAGGTTTCTGTTTCGTGATGTTTACCTGTTCAAGCATCATGTTGTTCAACGGCCCAGTTTTCCATGTGTGTGAAAGACTTGTCGAGGTGTGGCTAGACGCATCTCTGGAGCCCAGAAGATTATAACAATTTCTACCTTCTCATCCTTTTTTGCCCTCAAAGTCTGCGTTTGTTCTTGGACGAAATCTTGCTGGTGATTCATTTCTCCGCAATTTGAACGGGGGGAGTTGTTCATACATTCGTTCCCCGTTTTGCATGCTGGTTTCCTCATTGTCTACTCGAGGGACATAGGTCTTAGCAAGGTTCATGTCAGATACATAGGTGTCCTTTTTGGTTGTTTTGGGCGAAAAATAGATGGCCCTGGTTTACCTGGTGGTTTAATCATCTACCAGGGCCATCTATTTCCCCTAAAAGGACACCTATGGTCAGATACTCTTCCCATGGGATCCAACCGAAGGTCCCGAGGCAAACGAGGTCCCTGTTGCGTCTACCCAAAGGACCTGCCTATTGGTGGGGATCACTTGTCGGTTCCCTTGCAGGGTATTGCCCCCAACCAAACGTGTTCAGGTTGTTCACCCTTTATGAACAACCATGTTGGTTTTTGGCTGTCTTGTTGGTATGCTGTTCTTTGTTTTCATTTCAACTACCTTTTGAGTCTCAGTTTGATGTGTTTATTTTCCTTGTGACTGGGCTTGCTACTTTGCTGTTGGTTTCCTCTTACGTTTCAACCAGTTCAACCGAACAGTCGATCGAGCAGAGCCGACCTGACGTGACGTTGCCGTATGGCTCCGTCCTTTCTTGCCGGTCCTTCGCTTGGTGTCAAACACCCCAATGACCCCTTCGCAGCCACGGGCTTCGCCCTTAAACAAGGCAGACAAAGCCACTGAGCCGGTGGATGGATGGGGCTTTGGCGGCTGATGCGTTTGCAATTGGGCGCGCTTCCTAAGATGGAAGACCCGGTACCAGCTTGCTTTCATTTTTCCTCTCAAAACCAGCGCGTTGCAGAATCTCTGGGGGGTTTGCTTTCGGTTGGGTTCCGGGTGTCCTCGGCGTTTTCAAGGCGGGTGCAATCTGCAGTGAAGCTAGTGCTGCAATTTGGGCCTGAAAATGCTTTGTTGGTCTGCTGGGCTAGGATGCTGCTATGGCCACCCGGTCACCAAGTGCAGCTCAGATGCAAGACGTCAGCGTTTCTCCTTTGGCTTACCAGCTTTGGTCTGGAACAAAAAGGTAAAAGCTGAATTGTCGGTTTGCAGGCCCTGCAAGGGCAAAGCTACAGTTTTTCTCCATGTGGAAGTGAACATGGGGATAGTTCAACTGCGAGAGGGACCCTGGTTGAGCGCCGCTGTGTGTGTGTGTGTGTGAGTGTGTGTGTGTGTGTGTCTCTGTGTCTTTGTGTCTGCCTGCCTGCGTGCGTGCGAGCGTCCGTACGTCTATGCGTGCGTGCGCGCGCGCGCGCTCGTGCGTGCGTGCGTGCGTTCCTGCGTGCATGGGTGGGTGGGTGGGTGGGTGCGCGCGTGCGAGCGTCTGTGTGTGTGTGTGTGTGTGGGTGCGTGCGTGCGTGCGTGTGTGCGTGTGGGCGAGTGTGCGTGTTTGCGTGTGTTTGTTTGCGTGTGTCTGTGTTTGTTTGTGTGTGTGTGTGTCTGTGTCTTTGCTTTTGTCTTTGTCTGAGTCTGTGCTTGTGTCTGTGTCTGTGTCTGTGTCTGTGTTTGTGTCTGTGTCTGTGTCTGTGTCTTTGTTTGTGTCTTTGTCTGTGTCTGTGCTTGTGTCTGTGTCTCTGTCTGTGTCTGCCTCTGTGTCTGTGGGTCTGTGGGTCTGTGGGTCTGGGAGTCTGTGAATTTGTTTGTGTCTTTGTGTATGTCTGTGTGTGTGCGTGTCTGTTTGTGTGGTCTGTTTGTATGTGTGAGTGGTTGTCAGTACGTGCGTCTCCATGTGTGTGTGTGTGTATGTTTGTGTATGTCTTGTCTGTGCGTGTGTGTGTGTGTGTGTATACGTGTTTGTTTGTGTCTGTGTGCCTGTTTGTTTGTCTGTCTCTCTGGCTGCCTGCCTGCCAGTCTGTCCGTCCGTCCGTCCGTGTGTCTTTCTGTGTGTGTGTGTATGTATGTTTGCAGTAGTTATGTTTGCGTGTCCATGTGTGATGTGATGTCTGTGTGTGTGTGTCTGTGTGTCTGTGTGTCTGTGTGTGTGTGTTTGTTCGTGTTTGTACCTGTTTGTTTCTGTGTTCGCGTATGTCTGAGCTTTGTGTTTGGCAGTCGCGCCTGTGTCTACCTCTGCGTTGTCTCTGTTTGGCCTTCGGGCTCGGCGGCCCGAGGTAAGAAGCTGAAGCCATGGCAGGCGAGCATCGCGGGCCGCAGCTGCGGGCAGTGCCAGGCGGGTGAACGGGGCAAAGGCGAGGCATTCGGAGCCTCAACGAACCAAGAGAGACGAGGTCAGCCGTTGGAGACCCTAAGGTTACCTGCGTGGAGGCACCTTTGGCTTCCTCCCTTGAGCGGTTCGTGTCGAAAAAAAGCAGCTTTGGCTTCTCGGTGTTGATTGGACACTTGTAGCTCTGAGGGAACCGGCAGTAAGTTGGCCGGGTGTTGTGCTCTTCTTCCCAAGTCTGGACTCTCTTTCTCGAGCCTTCCCCAAATTACCACGTCTTCTCACAAAAAGGAACACGTCTATTGAGAGGGCACGATGGCGCTGGGAAAGCACTGCGCCCAATTTTACTGAGAGGCACCTCATGATGTCATGATTTTCCTAGGGGTCCCAGTGCCTTCTCGACTTTTGGAGGGGGCACCGTGTTTAGGGGCAAGCCGCAAAATTAGGCGGATGCCCGTCCAGAGTCCTGATTTAGTCTCCAAGCATCTCATGAACAGCTTTCCCAACTTAACACATACAGGCCTTTGGGATTCCAGAAGTCAAGAAACACCTTGCTGGTCAGTTGGCTACTTCACTCCAAAACATCCAGGGGCTGGGCTGCTGTTCAATGGGATCCCATAGGGAATCAAAGCCATATTGGTGGGTCCATATTCCAGATGCATGGAGTGGCACCTTTTGTGTGTTTCTATTCTTGCTTGGTGGGCTTCCCCATCAAAAAGGATCAACTCCACCAAAAACACACCAAACAATTCCCCCCCCCAACGGGAATCTTCGCCAATGAGTGTAAGCCGGGTTGTGTTGCCGGTTCCTGGAGATGTTCGGTTCGGACGTGCCGCGTTTGGGTCACACGCTTCAGGTGCAGATCACGCGGGAGGAGTTTCGGTGGCGCTGCCCCAACCACTGCCCCTGGGAGCCTGGGACGAAGGCCTCCCCAAGGAGTCTGGAAGGTTTTTTTTCTCCCTTTTGCCAGCCCCTTAGGGTACTTTGCAACTTGGATAGCACCTAGAAGGAAATTGGGGGAAGGGTGATCCCTGAAGTTCCACGCTTGGACTCAACAACATCTACGTAGCCCAGTTGAACTGTGGATAACCTTTGACAGCCCTCACAAATAGCTCCCTTGAGCAGGTCTACATACCATCGACTCAAGCGACTTCCTAACTTGAGCTACCGGCCACTTACTAATCAGTGTGGTCATCCAAGCCAAGTGTATTGGGAATCCGCTGGGCAAGCAAGCTTCCGGAGTTGTTTTTGAATGGCGTTGTTTGGGTCATGACATCCCGATAAACATTGGCGATGGGAGGAGCGGAGGCGGTAGGTGTGAGATGTGTCCTAGGATTCGTTCCCTTTTTGGGGCAGTTTGTTTTGCCGCCTCTTGGGGGGGGGGGAAACCACAAGGTTCTGCCCCTGCCCAAAATTCAACACATCAAAAGAATGGAGGTATTTGTCCCTTTCTGATGGCCTTACAGGGATACCAAAGCGGGGGTTGAGACCGAAAGGCAGGAACGCAGGAGCTTCCATTCCCACCATGTCGATCACCAGCAAGTTTGTGCATTTCTGAAAAGGCAGCCCTTTCTCCAAGCATCATGTAAGTGGACAGGGCCGTTCCCCAAATGACAACTTCCCACACCCTCCCGCCCCCTTCATGATTGCCAAACTGAGACAAGTAATTGGCATGTTGTGAATTCCTGAAGGAATCAACGACTTTGACTGGCTGTCTGCACATGTATATTTTAAGATCGGTAGTGAGATGATCCAGGTGTTTGAGTTCCCTTCTTTATCCTCTATGTGGGTACGTGTGTCATCGTGATATTTGCGTCCTAATAGCGACCTAGAATCTGACATGTAGACCGTAGACGCGTTTGGAAGACTGCAATTCTATGATTGGCAACCCCTCAGGCCCATTAGTTCCAACGATGGACGCTGAACAACCCCACACATATGTATTATGTACCATCCCCAAAGAAGATTACATGTGCATGTCAATGTAGGAAGCCAAACCAAAGGTAGGTTACTCTGTGCAAAGCAGCAATTTCTTTTCTTTACGATCGCCTACAGTACCTGGAAAACAAGATGCATCAAAGTCCAAGCGCGTCAAGGCAAGAGCCTGTTTTCTTTTTTATTCAGGCGCTCAAGCCTCTTGTGGTTTTGTGTTGCGAATTTAGCACAGTAAATGGTTCGCGCTCCCATTCTCGACGTTGCGAGTTGGGCGGCACTGGCATCACTCAATGCCAAGCAACGCTTCCCAGAGCCGGCCATGAAGCTAAGGAAGGTGTCGCTTCCAAAAGGGCATGTTTCTTTCAGGCAAGCAAGCAATGTTGCCATTCGGAATTACAGCATTTTTTCTCTGCCTTGAAACGTGGTGGGCAATTCTACCGCCCTCCAGAGGGAAAGTTCTCATCCTGGACGCCGTATACCACCAAGACTCAAAGCACCACGCTGAGCAATGTTGAACGTTGTGGGTGAATTCGGTTTGTGCCCAGCAAGGGGCCCGTTTTGAATGGTGAAGAAAGGGAAACACATAGAACATCGCCATTTGTAAACAGTCTTCTATTTTAGGAGCGGCACACCAAGTTATTGAGTGTTATTGACATCAGTTCCAATGCATTCAAATTGACATCCCCGCATATCCAAACAAATGTTTGGTATTCGCTTATGAGTATGTGAGGAAGACCTGCCAGTTTTTGCTTTGTGTCCTTCAATGAGCTGGGGTAGGACCACTGCCAAGCGGCCGAGGATATGTGTGGTCATTGCTACGACAACCACTGGGGTCGAGTGATTCAGGACGCGAGTGCTCCAAGCTTTTTCCAAGTTTGGCTGCCTCAAGGAAAAGGCTAGGACCACTTTCAGGCCGCGCATGTTCCCAAGGTCTAAAACGGACCGCCCAGTCCCAGACCCGACGGAGGTCAAGGAATCCGAGAAGTTGAAGTGCACCAATTTACAGACAAGAAGAAACACACTATGACTCCGTGCATTCGGTTTTGCCATTCAGTTGGCTTCCTCTTGGTCGTCTACATACTTTTTTGGGGAGCTATATATAAATATCTATTTGAGCTGCTTAGGGCTGGTGGCTTATGCCAACGGCCCTGGGCTTCGAGGCCTTCGGGCGAACATCGGCTGGAACATGGCGAGCTCTTTTAGCCAAGTTTGGGTTGGGAGTCCCCGTGTCTAAAATAGACTCCAGAAAAAGAAACGGCGCCAACTTATTCTAACCTCTCAAATCTGGAGTTCCAACCTCTCAAATCTGGAGGACCTAGGGGTTCAATTGCCTAAGAGCATCTGACAACATATGCCCTGGTGGCATAGAGCCTTACGGGGGCCTTTGGAAACTATGATCTGCCACACCAATGAACGTATGTTTGGCAACAATCAAAAACCGTACAGATTCAACATGTTTTCCCTTCTGCCTGCTTATGTCGAACCGCCATCCGGGGCAAATGGCAAATTCATGCAACCATGCGTGAAGGGAATTCGCCGGCTGCAACGATTATACTGTGTGTTTGTCTCTCTGATGCTTCCATCCGGGCTCTAGCTTGCGAGCAAACATCCAACATAAGCCATTCCTTCAAATTCGCGCTTTGCTTTTACCAGAAAAGGAATCCAGAAGGGGTTGGGTATTGTTTGCAGAAGCCCCTCAGCACCTGGAACCTGCAACAGAGTCCTTGGGCGATTGTCGTTTGGGTCCATATCAGGTTCCATGTTTGTGTTTTCGGGACAGCACCGACTATCGTTTGGACTTGGCCAATCGTTCATTTTACCAACAAACATTGTTTTCCAGACCAACTACTCTATCCTTGAAACTTCTCTTTAAACTATCGTGTCAAGCTACGTACCTTACATCAATCACCCTTCCACGCTGCCAACCTATTCCGCCTTAGCTTTGCATCTTATTTGCTGCGGAGCTACGCACATCCAGCGTCCATCCACGAGGGGGTTTCTCGCAACCACTTCTGACTTGCTGGTTCTCAGCGGGGAATAAGGGACATGACCCCCATAAAGACCAATGCGCTCATGGTTTCCTTTTCGGGACTCCCCAAAACCGGTTCATTCAGCCAACACCCAGGAAACTTCAATGGCTGGCCAATGGTCTGCGGAATGACCTCCCAATGGCTGGAATGGCTGTTTTGGGGTTTAATTGCCAGGCCTTGGGTCCTCTCGGTGTGGGTCATGCGCGTCCATCGATCACCCGCGTGCCTCGAAGCGGCCGAAGCGGCGCCAGGAGGCCGCGGCGGACCCGCGGCGCCAGCGCCGCCTGGCGCTGCTGTCCGCAGTGCCCTTGGAGCGGCGCCAAGCCAAGGACGATGTCATCGAAACGGAAAAACGCGGAGAGGTGGGGGAGGGGTGAGGCCGGATTCAGAGGAAACGGAGTTACCAACCATGAGCTCTAGTCAAGGTCTGAGGCCAGAAGGGCCATCCGGCTGGGTTCAGAATGGGGAAATGTCCCCTGCCACTGGGTTACTCTGAAGCTTGAAATGACCAATCCACAAGGGCAGACAATGGCAATTAGTTCCGACAAGTGGCTTCCCTACTCCAGCTGCAAAGCATTTGCATATGCCAGCAGTTTCCCTTTTCACCCAGGTAAATTGCCTAAGCGCCGAAAGAAGTTTCACCCGAACTCGGGGTGCGGGAAACAACGAGGTCCAACGACCAACCGTGTCCCTCAGGACTTTGCCGCGGCCTTCGGGGACAACCCCGACGACGCGCCTCGATGGAAACCCAGCTCGGGGTATTCCCCGTTCTTGTCAACCATCGTTCTTTTCAACGGGCAGTCTCTGGGTTGTTGATGGTTTCCTGAAAAGAAGGATCCTGGAAAGAATGGAATTGGAAGTTACCCCGAGAGGTATGTTCATTTGGGGCAGGGGCAAAAGGGCGAGCCGACCTTGATGGCGTTGCTCGAATCCCTTGGTTCGATATGCCCACTTCTAATGCCTCATCTGCTGGAGAAGGATCCTTTTGCGGTGCTTCGTGAAATCTCTGCATGGTATACGTGGGAGACACGTATATAAATAATATATAGAAATATATATATATATATATATATCTACATACACACACACGGAGACATGTATATAAATATATGTATATACACACACATACACACATACATACATACATACATACATACATACATACATACATACATACATACATACATACATACATACATACATACATACATACATACATACATACATACATACATACATACATACATACATACATACATACATACATACATACATACATACATACATACATACATACATACATACATACATACATACATACATACATACATACATACATACATACATACATACATACATACATACATACATACATACATACATACATACATACATACATACATACATACATACATACATACATACATACATACATACATACATACATACATACATACATACATACATACATACATACATACATACATACATACATACATACATACATACATACATACATACATACATACATACATACATACATATACATGCATATGCATGTATATTACATATATGTATACATACACACATACATACATACATACATACATACATACATACATACATACATACATACATACATACAGACATACATACATACATCCAGGCAGACATACATACAGACATACAGACACACACACACACACACACACACACACGTGGGAGCCATGTTTGCTGGTTGGGCTGGCGGTTGCCAACCCCATCCCGAGGCGCGTTGCCAACCCCATCCCGAGGCGCGGCTCTTGCTGCCGCCGAAGAAGATGCTCTCTGGGGAGACGGCCGGAGAGGCCATTGCCCCTTCCAAGAGTATCGAGTCTGAGCTGCCTGGCCTGTTTTTTTTTGTTTCCGTTGTTTTGTTCAAACAAACAATAACATTAAAATCTGGCAAAACAAGGGGGAGAAGAAAAGCGAAAATAAACACAAACAAAACGAAACCCTTTTGCTGCGGCATGAGGCCCACAGTTTCTCGTTTTGGGGGGCACAGTACAGCAATAAACACTTACCCTCCCACCAAGAAACATGGCCTGGCTGTTTGACCGGCAACATCGAACCCACCAGAAGGTTTCAAGAAGAACATGGTGCCATGCGGTTCGGTCCACGGTTGCATGGCCGGATCTGAATACCCAAGGGACTTGGCCGAAACGTTTTCTGCATGAAGTTGGTGCTTGATTCATGTCCTGATGCTCCTTTTGCTGGCATGCCTTGGAATGACTCTCAGGACGTCCTTATTCCCCTGGAACAATCCACTCATGTTTTCGGATGAGAAACATGCTCCTGTGTGTTGGGCAGCTTCGTAAACAGCACCCCGTCAGGGCAGAATAATGTGGGATGACAACGCCAGGCGTAGGTTGTGCGATCCCCCGCTTTAGTACGTTTTTCTAGACAATGATTACATTGACATGAGAGTCAAGTTGACCATGGTCAACATCAGAAGTTTTCAAAGCTTGCACATATGGGAGTTGAACAAAAGGTCCTTTGCATGGGTTGACCATTGGGAAACCACCACATCAGATGACTTTCATAACTAAATGGGAACAGTTACCCAAGGTCATTTTGGGGGCCAGGAAGATGATCAACCCCCATATGGAAACATGACGGCGAACCTTGACATTGACCATTTCGTAGAAGAAAGAGATTTGACGCGCAGTGTTGGCTGAGGGACTACCACTTGATACCGCTTGAATTGGTTCTTTTCGTTTAAGGTCTGTCAACATGGTCAACCCCCAAAAGGGTTTCCTTTTTCGGCCAGGGTCAAGGGCAACCGGGACTAAAGTTGTTTCTTTCCTTCCATGGGTGAACTTTCTTGTGCATGACGGGGAACGGCGACACCTGAGCGGACACCTAGGTGAAAGGTGGTTGAATCTTTACGCTGATTTGGTGGTTTTCCGGGTATCTCCTCCACCTGGGTGTTGAAATGGAAACCATCGAAAGCATCACTCAGCTTCAGGGCTCCACTTTGAGACATACCCATCTTCCCAATATCTCAAAGGGATCCTGTTCCGATTCTTCACGGGGTCCGGACATCTCCTCGTTGTACGTTGAACGGTTGCTTCGCTGGTGGCATTCGTTGGTAAGTTATTGCTTCTTGTGATGACCTTACCGGTAAGTAACCTGCAGAAAGCAGCTAATTCGTCCCCCAGCACCAAACCCTACACCCTTTTTGAGGAACCAAGTAATTATCCAGGAAAATGAGCACCAACTACCAACTGGTTCCACCGCTCTGTGTTTTTTCTCCCGATAAAGCCCTTTCAGGCCCGTTTTCCCTTGGTTTATTTGGCCCAAACCAAAAACCCGGGCAGCTGGCCTGAGGTTGCTCACCGGCGAGAGCCTCCAGCTCATGTGCCCTTCAGGCCACGTCATCCAGAAGAAGACGCTCGGAAGAGAAACGAAACCACGCTGTCGGGTGTGTGGTTGATTTCTCGGGGATTATCCAACCACTTCTGTGATACAAGGGAATTCCCGTATGATCAACAATTCGTCTTTGGGAAGCTCTTTCTGTTGTGTCACACAGGTGGATTCCATTCCCAGCCCTGGTTAGCCCCAACTGCGCTGAAGCACCAGTTGGCAGTGGGTCAATCGACCCTTTCTTTGCATGGGCCTATTTTCAGATTCGGAGGATGTCATGTCTCACACTGAACAAATGAAACCCTAACGCTAGGACAAAACGACCTTCCAGCTGGCGCAGGTTTTGTCCATCCGCAGTACTAGTACCAGTTGTATTTTTACATTGGAGCTGCAGGCGGTTGGATCTTTTGTGGATCAACGCAGATCCTTGCCACAGACACTAAGAGGCTATTATTCAACAACACCTGCTTACAATTCTTCCAAACAAAATGATCGCAACGTAAGCTCAAGCATTCACCACGCGGGGGTCCCACAAGCGCCGATCAAAAGCGGGGTCCAGCCGCTTGGTTCAACACAGAAAACACCTAAAAGCAATGCGTTTTGTGTTGGCGTCAAAAGCCCCAGTTTACGCGCTTACCAAGGGCTTTTGAGGAAATCCTCAGTCATATTCTCCCCGGATTGATAGCCCTGTCGAGTTTCCCTCTACACCACATGGACGCCTCTAGGCGCCTGTGCGTTTTGCAACAAGGAAACTGAACATGGGCTGGGCTGGGGTGGGGGGGGTCATGACCTAGTGAGTTAATGGGGGTTGATCAATATTCCGTTCGCCCCCCAAATGGGTGTGGCTCAAAATTAAACAGGAGGGGTTACGCAGGTGTTGGTCTCCACTTGCCAGGGTTCCATTTTGGTGCCGGTTTTTTGAGCCACAGCCAAATGACCATGGTTCACTTTTCCCATTTAGTGGCAGATATCTTCTTTTTTGTGGTATCCTCCAATGGGCATCCCATGTTCATCGGACCTTTTGATCACCCTCTAATCAACTGAGCAGTTTCCCCATAAGCAACCATGGCATCTCGGGTTTCTCTCCCTGTGATATGCGACACCACAGGGATGCCCCAATTAATCAACTGAGTAGGTTTCCCATCAAGACCCTTCTACCTGTGGCCCTCAGGAAGAAGCTGAAGCCATGGCAGACGGGCAGTCACAACTGTCAGGAGTGCCAGGACCGGATATCGTGCCGCGATCAACCAGGGCTCCGATCGGTTTGTGCAAATGAACACCGAGCTCACCAGCGGGTTCAAGGTCCTTTGCTGGGGGTGAACCCTCATTTCCTGTTTCGCAATTACTGGACAGCTTTCCCATGAAGGCCCTTTGGGCTTAACCCTTACTGCCTGTAAGGTAATTACAGTACAGCAGTTTGAGCATGTGTCAAACAGGGTTGCTCCGAGACGTTCCTGAATATGGCAGAAGATCGGCTCGGTGTTTTTGTTGGTGGTCCTTTCTCGAGGACCAAACTTCTGCCATGTTCAACTTTGCGGAATGCCGAATTTGATCGGTTGCGGAGAAACCACTGCCAATCAAAAACAACATCTGGGGTCATTTTCCAAAATGCGACCACTAGGCTGATGTCAAGAAAAAGGTAAAAGAACGAGTCTGAAATACTACCTTTGTTCGAAGTGAGTTTCATTTCGAAGGGGTGAGGGTTTATGTTTACCTGTGATTGACAACCTCCCGCCTCAAAGTCCACAATGACCAGAACATGTTTTTAGAGGGATTTTTGGACGGGGTGATGGTTTATGTATAGGACCAGAAGGTTTATGTTTTTGGAGGGTCCGGTCCCCCTGCACACCCACCCCTCTCCTTCATGAAAACCCGATGCTAGGCCCTCTCCCGTCCATTGGCCCATCGGACAGCAACAGGAAAGCGAAACGGCGCTGGCCTTGAGGGCATAGCCTTCACCTCGATGGTTCAACGTGTCGTTCAACGAGAAGCCTGCGGTTTTTGTTCTCTGTTGTTTTCTCCTTTGTTTCCTTTTTTTTCCTGCGAGCTTATTTTTTGTTCCGCTTTCGGTATTAGGAAAGCAAGCCTTAAGACCATGAAGGGAGTTAATTAGCAGTAGAAGTATTGGCGACAGCTTTTGTAGTTTAAATGAGAGTTGAGTTTCATTTGATTGTTTGGCGGGGCCAGGGGGACGGCCTTCATTGCGGGAGGGGGCGGTGGGGTGGGAAAAGGGGTTTGGTGGGCCAATCCTTCGTAAGTCCCTCGAGTTCCGTTTCGGACCTAAAAACATCATGGGAAGGCCAGAAGGTTTTCGACTTCTTTGGGTTAGTGGAAGGCCGTTTTAGTATGATAAAAAGGTTTCGGACTTTTCTGGGCCAATCCACTCGGGAACTGCAAGGGGTATGTATTGATCAGGGGTTAACATCAAGGAGAAAAGGGATCGGCAATTCGCAGAGGCTCAGTTGGTTCGGGAAGCCAGTGGTCCATTGATTGTTTAGAGAAGCAACTTCTCCAGTCTCTGGGCGTTATGCTTGGGAAGAGCATGGTTGCAAACAAGCGATTCAGGCATTTGTGGGTGCCTCGGAAGCAATTGCATTGCAGTTGGACAACTACTTTAGCCGTTTTAGCCTAATGGTGCAACGTTCCAGAACACGTCATTTCTGCAAGCACGCTATGCGTAAATCAAAGCCGCACAACATACTCACAACCTTGGCGAGGCCTAACTAAGTTCTTACCACAACACCAGGGAGTTCACAATTTCACCCCGGATTGACTCATCCAACCAGTTTCTACCGCAATTTGTGGCCACTTGAGTGTTGGGGAGCGTGTTTGGGCATGGTTTGTCCACCCAGTATTCTCATACCCTTTTGGGGAAGCATGCTATTTTGGAACTCGGGAAATGAGAAGCTTTTGTAGCCATGTTGAGTATTGGTTGCCAAATCAGGCCGGGCTTTTGTGGCTGGCCCTGACACGGAATCCCCCATAGTGGCAAACCCAGATCCATTTCCCACACCTGCGAAGAAAAGAGAAGCATTTACTTCCGAAATCCAACATATGTTGTTTTTTGTCTCGCAAAAACGAATTTTCTGACAAGCCATGAATTTCTAGACACCCAGGGGTTTCGTGTGAATTTCGTGTGAATTTCCGAGACGCCCACCATTGTTTTTCGCAAACCGTGAATTTCGAGAAGCCACTAGTTCAGACATTCCGGGGGGTTCGTGTGAATTTTCAGAGAGTGCCGGCCGCGGGGTTCCCGCGCGATCAGAACTGCGACTTGGAGCGAGGAGCACATCGCCAGGGAGGAGTTCCGATGGCGCTGCGAGCACCACTGCGACTGCGACGTCTGCGAGCCCTGCGCCTCCGACGAGAGAGACGGGGGACGTGGGCTGAAGGCTGAAGGCGCCAGGGCTCCCTGTCTGGGGGATGCCACCAAAAGGAACCAAAGGGATGGTTCGCCAGGTGGAAATTTGTAAGGGAACCAAAGGGCCGGGAAACGGCTTGCCGTGCCAACTTGGGTTGCACCTTGCTAGAGGGGTTTGGGCACTTCAGGGGGGGTCCGAACTGGTCAGCTAGCAAGTTTCTTCGCTTCACCTGGGCACTGTCTCCGAAATCGAATCCGGAAACCCTGGTGCAGTCCCCAGGATTGCAGGTAAACTGCTTTAAAGGGCAACGCTGAAATTGCCGCTATTGGTAGCAATAAACTTGGTGGCCACTGCTTGTTGTTTGAATGAGAATCAAAATAAAACTAGCCCCCTTTTGGGGTCCTTTGAAGAGAAACCACAAGGACAACCACTGGGGCTGCAACAATATGAGGCTCATGGCCTTGCACCCGGCTTGCGCTCAGAAACTTTCGCGCGGTCAAGGCCTCTGGTGGAGCTGAGGTTATGACCAGCACTGGTCGGAGCTGTTGGCCATGGTCCACAAGCGCCTCAACTCGAGTCGAGTCGCATGGGGCTTCCCCGTCCGCGCCCTCAGGTCGTGTTGCCTTTTTGAGGGGCATATGTAACATATATGGGGGTGTTCGTGTTTTTTTAAGGGAAGGCCGAGTTGGTGGGTTTGAGACCGAAACCAAAAGGAAAGCCAAGCCACTCTCCTTTTTGCATTTGAACGGGGAGGGGGGTAAGAAAGACACCTCGACGTATACCAAAAGTTTCACTTTCAGAGAGGTATCAACAAAACATTTAGTAGCATGGGCCTCATTTTGGGAAATGGCGGATAGGGTTTCACTTTTCAGAAGAGCCAAGGGAATCGATTCCCCGTTTGCGCCAGAAAGGAGCCTCATTGGACAACTTCACCTTGATTTTGGGGTACACATGTGGGTTGGTGGTTTGGGTTGGCGGTTTGGAAGGTAGGTGGTTTCTCATTTCCACAAAAGCCCGGGGGGTCAAATCCCCCAAAGCCCATCAATCCGAGCCACCGATTCGGGGTTGCCTGAAGCCAGGTTGTTCGGGGGCTCGCAAAACGGCAGACCTATGGGTCGAGGATGTCAAAGACTTGTACGGCAAACAAACAAATTGGGGGTGCATCCTCCATTATTCTGCATGGAATTTTGGCTTGACGGTGCACAGAGTTTCTCTTAGCCTCGCATCAATGGTTGGCCCACTCCTGTAGAATTTTGGTCTTGGGTTCTTTCATTTGTCGTTTTGCAGGGCCCAGGATCTTTGATGCAACCCTGGGCGTCTAAACCGCTGGCTCCCAGCAGGCGGTTTTTCCGTCAGTTCCCTCTACCGCCCAAAGAAGGGTCGCGCCCTCGAATGCGACCCGAGGACCCGGGACGAGCAGAAGAGTTGGCAGCTCCTCTCCGCGGTGCCTTTGCATCTGCGGGACTCCCGAGAATTCCTGGCGGCCCAGAGCCGCATCAACAAGCGCGCCAAGCACCTCGCCGGCTGTATGAGGGGGCTGTATCTGAGTTGACCCGCCATTGCGGCTGATCAAGGGCAGCCATAAGGACACTAGCCAATTTGTGGGGGGGGGGGAGGGGGGTTTGGCCATCCATCTTGCGTGTCAAAGCCATGTCATCATGTCATCTATAAGGTGTTTCTGCTAAACAAAATGCACGAAGCGATGCGATGTTCTCACCAACCCAGCGAGAATGCTTTTCCTTTGCATTGTTCCCAACAGCCTTGTCGTCGCCGTTGGGTGGAAGCGGAGAAGGAGTTGTTGGGGTTGTTGCATGGAAACCGGCTGAACCCCCAAACCTTTTTATGGCGGCTTCGCCTACTTTGGATTTACGTCCATTTGCGCAACTGACACGATTCATAGTCTGCTTTGGTTTTAGGGAGCACCTGAAAGAACCCGCACTTCCCACAAAAGCCAGCGGAACAGCCCAAGCGGCGCATGTCCGCGGAGAAAAAGCAAACAAATATCATGTGAAGCTTCTTTCAGCCAGCGCGTAACTTAAGCCCGAGGAAGGAGGAGACCGCCGAGAAGACGGAGACACAAGTCAACGTCTTGGAGCAGAAGGCGGCGCTCTCGGCGTATGGCACCGAAGTCGGGCCCAAGGACATGGGGACGCGAGCGGTCCATGGTGATCCCTGGGGTTTGGCTCACTTCCTGCGGTCCGTTTCGGACTTTAAGCTTCCTGGACCCCCCAAAAGCCGAGTTCTGCCTTGGACCCTTGAAAAAGGGGTACAAAGGCAAAACAAAGGGGTCATCTGGGGGTCCAGGTTTTGGGAAGATGGTGGTAAGTGACACGTTCAGACATCTTTTTGGGCCAAAGCACTCGGGAAGTGAGTTGGAGATTGGTGAACTCATGGGAAGGGGTTCACTAGACAAAGGCAAAGGAAACATTGGCTGGTGGTAAATTGATCTCGTTTGATGGTCGTGCATGTCGTTGTTTGAGGGTACTGTTTTCGGGGAAACAACTCATGGGTCCATGTCCCGTTTCTAAGCCCAAGCGGACTTCCGTTTTTTGCCTCATTGAGCACCACTGTAGACTCCGATCCCCTGTTTGATGTCTGTGTAGCAGTGCTGGTGCAAATGAAGGTCAATGGGTGGACATGCCAGAAGGTGAATGGCTTCCCCACCTCTACACCAAATGGACATGCCTTTGCCTTTTTGTTTAGTGAACATACCTGAGCCCTAGTAAGTGGAACCATGGACCAAAACCTGCGGTCCATATCATGGTGGTTTAATTTGACCCATAGCCTGCTTGACTCGTGGACGCAGGTTTTAGTCTGTGGTTCCATTTACCAGGGTTCCACTTAGGGTGCCTATTTTTGACCCACAGCCATATGGACCTTTGGATATGAGCTGTTTGACTCGTGGACACGACCGCAAGGACGTGAAAGGTCGGATCCAGGGCGCATTTCTGCAGATGGACGCGACGGTGGCTGCGTGGCCCAAGGCCCAGATCTGCTGCTGGGCGCTGCTGGCGGCGCTGGCGGAGCACTTGGTCCTGTCGCGCCGCCCGGCGAAGTGTTTGGCTGGGTGGCTGGCTGGGTGGGTGGATGGATGGTTGGTTGGTGGGTGGATGGTTGGGTGGTTAGGTGAGTTAATTAATAACTGAGTGGGTGGTGGGTTGGTTGGTTGGTTGGTTGGTTGGTTGGTTGGTTGGTTGGTTGGTTGGTTGGTTGGTTGGTTGGTTGGGTGGGTGGGTGGGTGGGTGGGTGGGTGGTTGGTTGGTTGGTTGGGCTGGTTTTCTACTTGGTTGGTTGCTTGCTTGCTTGGTTGGTTGGTTGGTTGGTTGGTTGGTTGGTTGGTTGGTTGGTCGCAAGGGACCTTGGCTTTCTGCCGGTTTTCACTTGCGGTGTAGACGCGAAGGCGGTTTTTTGGCTGAAAAGGGAAGCCAACAGGAAGACACCTGTTTGGGGATCATCCTTGTGCGGGGGGCTTTTCAGGGAGAACTAAGAGCAGGACACCCTTTGGCCTGGTTTAAGGGAAAATCGGCGTCGAACTCATTTGAGATATCCATTTGGCGGCAAAGAGTCAGATGTCTTGTGATGCCGACTCTCATTTTCCCAGGATAGTGGTAAACCGTTCGGAATTGTTGTCAAAGAGAGATATTTTGAGGCAGGTTGATACTGGTGCGTGCCTGCGAGTAATCTCCTAAACAATGAACCAGCAGTTCCCCTTCCAGGTTCGCATGAATCAAAAAGGAGGATCATGCTCTGAATCCCCAGCGGTAAACAGCACGCTTGGACTTGCTTCACCACCCAGGAAGATTCGAATATCGAGACTAATCCGGTTCGGCGCTCGGAACATGCGCTTTATATTGCTGTGGGTCAAAAATAGGTACCCAAAATGGGTTGCCCTGGCGGGTGGAAACCTGGAATGAAGCCTGCTGTCCTCTGGTGGTTTATTTTATGACCCATACCCATATACGCGTAGGGCAACTGTTTGGAAACTGATGGGACAGCGGCAAACTGGGGAAACCCGGCGGACGCCCGAAACACGAGTGACGAACACTCCGCCAAGCCGCCTTCCGGGCTCCAGGAGCACGGGACCTGCAGGGCACTGACACCTCGCCGGGCCAGCTGCCAGCCCTTTGGCTCTCTTCTCGGTTGTCCCAAAGAAAATTGGCGCCGGAAACTGCATCCTTGTTCATCCCTTTTTCCTGATGAAGGGCTGTTTTGTGTTTCTTTCTTTTTCGGGGGAAGGGGGGGACGTTTGTGCGGCCAGTTTGTGTCCTCTTTGTCCGGGGGGAGGGGGTGATGTCCCAGCAAGACAAGTTCGGCTGTACTTCAAAGATTCACTTTGGTTCGGGACGGGTGGCGTTTCTTTCAAGAAGTACTCAGCGCCATGTGAGCCTCCGCAGAGTGCTGTTTCTGTTGGTTTGACACATCGCGTTTTGGAAAACACCTGAGGTGATTTTGCTTGCCCTGCACATAGGGCAAGCCGCTGTATTCCCATTAGGCACAAGACCGTTGTTTTTTGCATTGTGTTCTTTATGGTTCTGCTGTTCGTCTTTTTTTTGGGGCGGAGGTGAGCGTTCCGTTCAACCAAAATCAAGAGGGCGAGGTCCGTTATTTGTCCAATTCAGGAACGCTCTCTTCTCAAAGCAAGCTCTGCAGAGGGCAAGTCACGCGGCAAGTCTCTTTTCCGATGCCCTGGCAGCGTTGTTTGTGCCCAAAAATAACATTTGGAATCAATTGCTCCTTCAGGCATGTGCAGCAGTAGATAAGAGCCGTCCACCAGCGATTTTGCGGCAACTGCAGTAGCATGTTACAGTGCAAAACATGCTCAAATTGTGTAGTTGGTTTGTCGCCGCGCTTACCATTCTGCCTCGAGGGCCAACCAGCCCGCGGATCAGCCATTTGTGCCAGAGTGCCTGCCCAACATCAAGAAAACCTTTCAGGGTGCTCCATGTCTGGTTTTGGAAGTCTCACAAGCCCAGGAAGGAGCATTGGCGCATGATTCCCAAAATAAGTTATATAGATCTCACTGGCAGTTTGAGCTTTGCTGGGAGCAGTGCAACCAGGTCGCCTGATTTCTGTGATTTCAAGAAGCAGTGGGATGCCATTTGCTGCACCCTATGATCCAACACTCACGAGGCTTGATGGGACAGAACCTGATCCCCCGCACTCAACAACTGGAATGCCATGCTGCAAAGAATCTTGCCAATTTATTCCGAACAGGCAGCAGTCGCATTGTGCCCAGCATATGTTCATAAAGCAAAAGCTGCCCGTGACTCCAACATATGCGCCCTGATGCTCCAAGAAGCAAACGACTGTGCATCAAAATATGCCGTGGCAAATTAAACCACGGTTGTCTCTCTTCCGAAATGATACACCTGAAATTGTTTTTGTTGTTTTGTTGTTTTTATGTCATTTATTTTTCTTGCCCAGTTCTGTGCCAAGTTGGGATCTTCCTTCTGTGCCATGTTTTTCTCTGAAGCCTCCAACCCGGGCATACTGTGGATGGACGAACTCCTGCACCACCTAAGAAGCCCTGGTTTCTGATGATTCCCCCGTAAAAATACCACCCACCAATGGTTTCAACCATGGAAACCCCAAGACGGTGCGTGGATCTCGTCCCACGCAGCTCATAGCCGGGCGCTCGGAGGACGCCCTGCTGGTGGCGGCCTTGGGCATGGCGCTGGCCGCGGGCCTGCTGCAGGCGCTGCTGCTGCTGCTGCGCTTCCTGCGGCGCAAATTCGGGGAGCGCCTCGGAATGGGGGGTCCGGGGGGGGTCCTGAGTCCGGCCACGCGGGGGTTGGGGCCAGTGCCCTTGAAGCCAACGGGAGAGGGTTGGGGTTCTGGGTCCAGTGCCCTTTTACCAACTTTGTTGGGGGAGGGTTCCCTTACTACAATAGACTACAGAAGAAAACAAGTGGGTAGCCTTATTCAAGCCTCTCAAATCTGGAGGACCGGCCACAAATGGGGCCGCTAAAGATGTGGGATGTGTTTTTGTTTTAGCAGGTGGCATTCTGGAACTGCCAACAAGCTTGGTGTCCTTGTTTAGTGTCTATTTACAACCATCCAAAAAGGGTGCCAGTCCTAAAATATGACCCCATATGACCCCGCTTCAAGATATATGAGCAAGAGGAGGCGTGAACCAGATCCCAACAACGGAACCTTGCCCAATGCATGCTTGTGTGGGTGTGTGGACAGCCATAAAGGGAGGCCCTGGCTTTTGTTTAGAATTGTCGTCATCCTTAATCAGGGCTCCTTAAAAGATACATTTTGCCCATTTGAAACATGGCTTTTTCCACCAAAATACAGGGAAACCACCATTTACAAGGCAATGTTCAGGTGTATAATGTAAGGATCCCTGTTAATCCGTGCGTGGGGACCACAAGTCTAGGAACCAGCGAGCCTGGGTACTGGCGGTTCTTGTGGACCTGAAGCAGGATGCAATGCCCATCCCCAACGAAACGCACCTCCTGTCACCCAAAATGAACCAGGGGATTCCATGAGTTGTTTCTCAAGCCACAGGCGGTGGAGGCTTTGTGAGGAGGTTGCCCCTCGAAACGGCATGTTAGGGCACCACAACCTTGCAGCTTCATGTGATTTGGGTCAACCCATGGCAACAATCCTTCCAGGTAAGAACAGTTGAGCCAGCTTTGTTAAGCTCTGTATACAATTCGGAGCGGGCGGGGTGGGTTGGGGGGGGAATTCGCGAAATCAATTGCATGTTAGAGTTAGTTTCTTTCCTCACCGCTGCCGGTCTTGGAGCCGGAGCCCGTGGAAGCAACATCCCCCTAACCTCCTTCCCTCAATCCAGGGTGACCCTACTGCTGAAACATTTGTCAGTTCTTCCCTTCTTTCCCCTTCAGACTTATATATCCCCTGTAAACATTTCCGTGGAGTGATGGTTGCGAGGGGTAGGTAGGGATTTCTGTTTGCAACCCTAGTTTCGGAGGAGGTAGCCCTATGATGCAGGTAGACTCCTCTCATTTGGTTTGGGTCCTTTGGCTGGGGTCAACCCATGGCTGCCCCTTCGGCAAACAGGCGCCTTTGGCGCCACTTGAGTCATCATGTTTGTTCGGATATTTGGACGCCAAAGGGTGCTTTGTTCAAAGCTATCATGTGTTGTGTCCCTTTGCCATCCTGTTTGTTCAGATGTTCAAAATGTGTCCGCACTCCCTTCAAATCAACCAACACGACAAAGTGTCTTTGTTGCTTCCCCGCTACTGGGCAAAGGCTTTTTGGTTGTCCCGCTGGTCTGGCAGCCCCATCCAAAGAACCCCTCGGTCCCCTTTCAGCCTGAGCACCGAAAAGACCCACATCCGATGTTCGGCACATCACGAAAAACATCGCGGCCATGAAGGGTTTTTTCAGACCTCCCGAAGGCATCCAGTGGCACCTCACCCCAGTTGCCAGTGGCGCCCTTTTTCCTCTTTTTTTTGGGGAAGGGTTCCCCTTTCAACTCAACTCTCCAAAAAAAACGGATGCCCAAATTTCCCCTGGAAATCCACTGGTCATCTGCGTCACAGCTTCCACTTGCAGGCTGCCGCCGGTGCCGGCGCCGCCCCCGGCCCTTTGGGCGGCCTTCCAACACCTCCGCGGCCGCCGCGGGCGGCGGGAGGCGCCGCTGGCGCCGCCACCGCCCAGGCCGCCTCCGCTGCAGCCGCAGAGTCTGCACGCGCCGCGGCCGATGCAAATTTTCCTTCGGCATCCCCACCCCCTTCAAACTGGATCGGGGGAGGGGGGTCACACCCCTGGAATTCCATTTGGGGATCCATTTTCCTTTTTTCCCTTTGGTGGGGAAGACTGCATACATGGAATTGTGGGACCCCCCCCGCCCCCTCCCCCTCAAGGTGGGGGCATCTTTCAGCGGAGGCCCTCGGCCACAGGGTCCACGATCCGAGTGCAGGAAGTCGCGCCCGGCGTTTCCAGTCGGTTTGGTGGGGCATTCACGAGTTATACATCCCCAGCCCAGCCAAATGGGGAGGTTTCTAGTTGATCTTTGGGGAAGACTAGATAAACTGAAGTGCAACTTCCCCTCCCGCAGGCGATGATTGGGTTGCTGAGACCTTTGGAATGTCAGCCCAGACAACGCCATCCCCTTCAGAGTGAAGTAGTGGGATGGGACTTCCACTTTTGCGAATCCCACACGAAGCGAACCCTCCTGAAATATAGCTCACCTTTGTTTCTGGTTTTGTTTGGCTCTTTCTTTCTTTAGTCATGGTTTTCAGGGCTTTGCCACCTTTGTTGTCAGTTCTACAAAAGTCAAAGACACCATGTCATTGCCTCAACCGTGGATAGCAGGTTGTCTTACCGTTTGGATGCCCGAACTCGAACTGGATTCCACCAATTGTTGTGCAAGGTTTAAACTTGCACTTATTCAGCAAGTTTGCGAGTGGGAATCCAGGTGAGAGCTGATTGCAGGGCGAAGGAGCGCTCCTGGTGAATTCCTGGCTTGAAATCCGCTTGAAGAGCGGTGCGCGTTGGAGACTGTTTGCTAACACGCTGCACTCGGAGGAATCAAGATAGGACATCAACCACCCCCCAATGGCTGGCAAATGGTCTGTGGAATGACCTCCCAATGGCTCTTTTGGGGTTATGCCGGCCATTGGGGGGTCCTGGAATAGATATTGTCATGTGTCCCTGAGAACCCCCACTCCCCCTTGCTCGAAGACCAACTGCATTTGGCCCACGGCTTTGCTTCTTGGGCCTTTGACCAGCGTTCCCATTGAAGGCCAGCCCCGGGTCCGCGAGTGCATACGAGCAGGCATGCTCCAGCCAGGTGCGACCGCAAGTCTTGCTTTTATGGATGAGTTGAGTGGCTAGACGTGTAGACGCAAGAGTTGCCATGGCCCTTGCGCGTATCCCCACCCCCAAGAGGTATTGTAAGGAATTTGGCCAGGAGAAGCCAGCTATGTTTTCAGTTCGTGATAAACGGAAACTCAGCTGTTGTTTCTTCCCCCTTGTGTAGCAATCGCTTGCCATCATCCCGGCTCCGTTCGAGCTCCAAACATTGATCGCTCCCTGCATGGTGTTTTGCGACAATTGCTGAGCAAGCAACCCGCTCTGCGCAGCAGGTTGAGGTTGAGAGTCATGCAAAGTTTCAAAGCAGCCCGCGCATATTCTGGAGAGCCTGATCTTATTCCCGCTTTCCCCAACCAGTTCGAAACCACAAATAGCCTTGAGTTCAAGTCTCAATTTGGGGAATTGCATCTTGTCTTACCTGCCCCTCTCGCGTTCCCTAAATCAGACCCCGATGAGGCATGAAGGAAACAGGCAGGTTGGCGACCAGGGGGAGCGTATTTCTGGCGCAGCTTCGGGAGGTTCCAGGGACATACCAACTTCCCTTCGACCTGAGGTCTACCTGTTGCTGGGCGTGATGCTCGGCTCCTTGGACTCATGAAAAAAAGGAAAAAAACGGAAGGTGCCACGAAACACATTGGACACGAGCAGCTCACACGACTGCTGGTAGCCAAAAAAAGTTGCGAGTTTGGGCGGGCCCACCACGAAATTTCTGCCAAAAAGTTACTCTGTGGGTGCTTTCACCCACCAACACAGACATCAGGAAGCATTTCCAACCCAAGAGCCCCCCAAGACCTGGAGGAGCGCATGTTCAAGCACCGGAGCCCCCCCCTCCCCGTTGTCCGCTGTTCTTTGTGGGAGGCCCGGTGCTCTGTTTAAGGTTGGTTTTTTTACGGCAGAGGGCAATGGATCGGTGTTTGTGGGACGTCCATCGTTTTGGTTCGCCGAGGCCTGGAGCTGGGCCTCGTGGCCTTTCTGTGGCAGCACCAGGTGTGCAGCGCCGGGCTGCACCCAGTGGCGCTGCTGGCCGTGGGCCTGCGCCCGGACGCAAAAAAACCGCGAGCAGCGGGCGCTCGCTCCACTGGTTCCATAGGGAATGACCCTCCGAGTCCGGGTGTTTGGAATGAACCCAGGGCTTTGGTCCTCATGGTCCGCTACCTGGGGTTCCACATTACCCCATGATAGTTTGACAATATGGGTATGGGTCAAAATACAGCAACCAGGAATTGGACCGCAGGTTGTAGTCATTGTTTCCATTTAGCAGGGCAAGCCATTTGGGGGATTCCTTTTTTTGACCCACACCCAGGTGGGGAATGACTGTCCCAGTCCGGGGGTGTTGGGAATGCCAGTTGGATGGGTATGGGTCATTCCCTCATTCCCTGTCGCACCAGCAAGTCTAAGCCCAGTTGCCTCGTCTTTGGACGTATTTTCTGGACCGGGTACTTAGACTTGTCCTTTGGAAAGCACCTTTTGGGTGGTGTTGTAATGGACAGCGAAAGGGCGAACCAAGATAAGTGGGTTCCAGTTGGTTTCCCTGGAAACCAACCCAAAAAAAGGGTACCTCAAAGAAAGACACTCCCGTAAAGCCCATTTAAGCAAAACCCCCACTGGGACGAAATAATTGGCATGGTTGATTGAAGGCAAACCAAAAGGGGAGGATGTTTGTTGCTTTCCAGACTTAGAATTGGGCAAGCAAGGGTTTCCGAGATTACTGGGGCCAAATGTATCGAGTGATTCCATCTATTTGCGGGCAAGATGAGCTCGTGATGGTCGGTTACCTGGAATTTCACATTTCCCCATGATAGCTTGACAACATCTCAGTTGTTCCTTGTGACCTTTTGGTTTTCCCTTTTTGGTCTATTAGTAGCGGTCCCAAAAGCTTAACCTTTTACTTCCAGGTTTTTTGGGCAAGTGAGATATGGGTATGAGTCAAAGTTAAGCCACCAGGAATTGGACCGCAGGTTGGGTCCTTGTTTCCATTTACCAGGGTTCCATCTTGGGTACCCATTTTGATCCACACCCATGTGGGTCTGTGATGTTTTCGGCATCCCCTGAAATGCTGGTGTTTTTGGTGTGCTTAGAACGGCCAAGATGGGGTACCTCAACAAAGACCCACGTATGAAATGCATAACAAAGGAAGAAACACAAAGCCATTCCTGCAGTTTTTGACTGAGGTTTGAGGGCAGCGAGACGGTGCACGATCGGCGGCTGCTCCTGTCTGTGGCTTTGGCCTCCCTCAGTGGCCCAGTTGCAACCAGATGGCTCCACCATTTGTTTGAGAGAACTTTCAAAATGTGTCCGTATCCTTTTGTACCAAGGTGCAGCAACTGCGCAACAAAGAGTACTTTGTTTTGTTTGCCCCAGATGCCTAGTGTGGGAGAAACTGACAACCACCCCATGGTTCCTCTATGTGTTCCCAGGTGGTTTCAACCATCACATTGTTGCCAATTCAACATGAGTGTCCTTTTGGTCGGGTGATTTAGGGGAAACATGAGAAGCCATTGGTGTGGTTCCATTGGAACCTGGTGAATTGCAATGTGTGAAGTAGGACTTCGATCTCTCTGAATGACCATGTTTCAGTCTTGAATGGCTCTTGTGTCCGATGGGCAAGGTGGCTTCTTGCTGCTTCCGGCGGACGGGGATGACTGGCACGGCGTGCTGCTGATCAGCTCTCAGTCCCTTGGATACCCCGCCTCGCTCCGAACCCCCCTCCCGACCCCCCCGCCCACTTGGGCATAGCGGGTGTCTCAACAAGTGGCGATCACATCATTCCCAACCAGTCTCAATCCAGGGATCCGTTGGATCGAGGAAATGTGCAACCCAGGAAACACTAAGAAAGAAAGATCAAGCTTTGGAGGAGAGCAAGACATTAAATCATTAAATGTTTCCTTTGTGGCTTAGGGCCCTCTGCATTAGCCTCGCCTTCGCCTGGAAGGCGAGCCTAAAAAGTTGGGGAACTCCAGAGTCACCTGGCAAAGGTCGAGCTACCTTGTCCTTTTCGCCCCAAAAACTCTCACATGGAACCCGCCAGCCATGCTTCAGAGTCTCCCCTTAAACACTGCGACCCCTTTTTCACTTCGGGTCGCCTGGGGCTTCCCAGGTCCCCCAAGGTGCCCTTTGACCAACTTGTTTGGGGGAGGGCCCTTTCTCACCCCTGTTTTGGGGGAGGGTCCCCCTAAAATAGACCACAGGAGAAAAATCGGGTACCCTTCGTCTAACCTCTCAAATCTGGAGGACCCAGCTTCGTTTCGGTGAGGTGCCTGTCGGTGGGGCGCTGGGTCTTCCTGTGCCACTTGACTGCTATTGGCTTGTATCTTTTGACTTTAACTTTTGTTGTATCTTTTGATTTTAACTTTTGTTGGATCTTTTGACTTTAACTTTTCGGGAAATGGATTTGGGTCTCCACTGAACCCACCAAAAGTCCAACACTGAGTCGCTTTTTCCGCCGCTTCAGCGCCAAGGCCACGTCCTGCCCTTCGAGGCGTCGCCGGCGGAGCTCTTCGGGGCCTCCGCGGTGCTGGGCGCCAACTTGTCGGTGGCCGCCACCAGCGCGCTGCTGGAGCTCACCGCGGTGCTGGACTTCCCCGGCGCCCCGGGCTCCGAAAAAAAGGAGGGAGCGGAGCCGCAAGGAAAGGCGCCAAGGACTGCCTCGAAGCATGCGGGTGATTCTTTTTTCCCCGGTGCGTTTTTTTTGGGCGGGGGGGAAGATTTTGTTTTTTTTGTTTTGTTTTTTTGGTGTGCTTCCCCCTTTTTTCCCCAGGATTGCTTTTTTTGCTGGGGGGGGGGGAAGGCATTTTTTCCCAGGTTTGCTGTTTTTGGCGGGGGGGGGAGGGAAGACATTGTTTTTTCCCCCCAGGTTTTCTTTTTTTGGCCGGGGGGGGAAGACATTGGTTTTTTTGTTGTTCTTCTTCTTCTCCTTTTTTTCCATCTTTTTTCCCCAGGTTTGCTTCTTTTGGCGGGGGGGGGGGAAGACATTGTTTGATTTGTTCCCTTTTTTCCCCCAGGTTTGCTTTTTTTGGCGGGGGGGGGGAAGACATTGTTTGTTTGTGTTTGTTTTGTGTCTTTTTTTGTGTGTGTTTTTTCTCCATGTGTTGTTCTTTTTTGGCGGGGGGGGGGGGAAGACATTGTGTTTTTTTTGTTTTCCCCCCCAGGTTTGCTTTTATTGGCCGGGGGGGGGGGAAAGACGGTGTTTTTTGTTGTTTTTTCCCCGTGTTTGCTTTTTTGGCGGGGGGGGGGGGAAGACGTTTTTTTAGGGGTGTTTTCTGTTTGTTTTGGCGTTGGGAAAAGACGGGGTGGGTGTTCCGCCATTTTTAGGGACTTGATCGATTCTGGAGCTTCCAGACTTGATCAGGGGACAAGGTTGCGAGCTAGCTGCTCCGAAGGCCATTGTTTCCTACAGTCAACATATTTGATGTTCCCGTTCGAGCAAAGAACCCGAGACCAAAACATAGTTTGGTGTTGAACGTCTTCTACAGGAACAGCATGTTTGACCTCCACTCATGTGAGTTCGTTTAAGAGAATTTTCAATCACCCGATACGTCCCGATACGTCGCTCAGCCCAGGCTTTTGGCACCTGATACACATCACGGAGCCTGGCATGGTCTTGTGGAACATCGTGGTGATTGGGTTGTGCTATGCCGTTTCTTGGCAGTCCAACCAGATGCCCGTTTTCGGGTTTGCATCACCGGTTGACATGACAAGGGCTTTGACAGATTCTTGGAGAATCTGAGCTTCGTTTGGGTTATGTGATGGGGAAAATATAGGGGACCCGGCTGAAAAGGGTTTGTTTCACCCTAAACTTTAAGAGTGGTTGGCAGCTGGAAAAGCTTTCCCTGGTGTTTGTTCGCCGTATCTGTCATGGCATGCGCGGGTTCTAGCAGACCTCAAGTTCAATATGGTCCAAATAATAAACGATTGCAGATTGCGTTTGTTTGCATTGCACCTTGCCTTTCACATCCCACTTCGGCAGAATTATGACCTGTCGACGTGTGAACACCGCTTCAGTGGTAGAGAAACATGATTAATTTATTTCGAGCTAAATCCGCCTAAGTAGCTGAGTTTGCCAGTCAAGAGTAATGATCAACGGTCAGGTTTCCAAGCATCAGCCAGTGATGGTTGGGGGTAGTTTGTGGGCTTCCCGAATTATCTTCCCAAAGCCCATCGCCTCAACTGTATGACTCGTATGACCTAAAACCCCACCGTACACAACCGCCCTTCAGCTGTATGACCTATTCAACCTGTTCAAAACCTCCGGTCAGGTGAGGCTTTTGTCGTACCTGAACCTCGCACGAGTCGCCTCCTTTCCCCTCATGGGCTTGGTCCCAGTCGTCTCGGGCGCCATTGGGGTGTTGCCCACCAGAGACTTTTCGGGGAGCCTTGGAAGCATCCGAGCCGATCTGTGTCTTAGTACTTTTCTGTGGCCTATTCTACTCCTCAGATTTGCATGGAACTCAAACATCCATCACTTGTTGGAGTCTTTTGAGGGCCCCCCTTGTTGAGTTCCATGTGAATTGGCTGGGAAATCAAGTGAAGCCAAAGGGAAAAGTGGCGTACCAAGTTGTGCCGATCGAGTCGTCGGAGCACCTCCGAACTTGGCATCTGGTGTGGTGTTTTTTTCTTTTTTTGTTCTTTCTGATTTGAAATGACCACGACGCTGGAATCATGGGGGCTGGGAGGGAGGGGAGGGGGAGGGAGGCCCAAAGAAGCCCTGACAAAAGCCCTCAATCAGGCCTTATGGGCTTGATAAGGGCTCCCCTCCCTCCCCCCCAGCCCCCATGATGGAAAGTGTCGTAATGACTACAATGGATTATGACAGGAAATATATTCTAGCATATAAGCTGGATTCTTCATTCCATTGCATCAGAGTTAACTTATGTTTACATGAGTCTCTTGACTGATAGGCCTGAAAGAAAGTTTCCTTGGTTGACAGGTTGCCTCCCTTCATTTCTCTTTGTGTTCCTTCTCCATAATATAGCTGAGTTTTATTGGTTTCGTGGCAAGTGGGACCGAACCAAACTAGAAGAAGAGGTGGCCCGGAAGCAGAACATATAGTGACCAGCTTCAGTATTGAGTCACGATCTCCACTCAAGCTTCTCTACGCAGGTTCTGCGTGCAAGTTCTTTGCGCTTGTGGTCTCTGCGCATGTTCGCGCTGCAAGTTTCTTTGTGCAAGTTCACGGCTCAAGCTTTTCTGCTCGAGTTTGTCTACACAAGTTCTCGTGCAATTTGTCGCGTATGTTCCCTCGTGCTATTTGCTTTGCATGTGCTGTGTGATATTTGTCCGCACAATAAGACTTCTGATGTTACCAGGGAAAAGTCCATCGTTTAGCAAAGCAAGTCGCGACCTTGAAGTAGCAGTGGGTGTCACTTAGCTGCTTGTTCTTTCCTTTTAAACTCATGAACAAGCAATAGTTTCCCGAATATTCCTTAACCCTCATTGACTCGTGTCACTTAATGCGGCCTATGTTTGACCTCACAGTGGTCTGGACCCTAGACCCTTTTCGTTGGTGGGCTGTCGGTTGGTCACAAGGCTGCCATTTACCGAAGGCGGACGTTGCCAATTGCCAGGTGTCCAGCTTGTGCAACGATGAACAGGCTGCCCTAGTAGAACATGGTTGTTGTTGGGAAACATTTTACATTTTTGCTTGTTGTGGTTTAGTGGTTGAAATCCAACCACTTGACTGCTACAAATGATTCTTTTTGCTCCCCTTCCAACGTCGACCAAGAGAAGCGAACGCCGCCCTTGTCACTGAACGAGGTTGGCCCTACTTTTCCGCAGACCTCATCGCCCACATTTGCCTGTTCACGAGCTGTGTGTCCAAAGCTTGGGTCTCCTTGGTGATTGTTGTTTTCGGTGAACCACCTAGTTTTTGCTGAGAGGCTTTGTTTGGTCAAGCAGAAGCACATGTCACACTTGACCGGTGAGTGGCATGCGGCAAGTCATGAACCTGTACTTTTTCTGGCAGAGACGTACAAACAACGCACACACATATTCCTGACAGAGCCTCACAGCCGCACTCCAATCATGGTAGAACACGCGGTTTCTTGTCTGAATTATCATGGCCCTCCCCCAAGGAAAAAGATACGGCTGTGCATGTGTGTTTTTCCCCGGTACCCCCCCCCCCCCGCAAAAGAAGAAGCAGAAACGTGCAGGGTGTTCCTTTTGCTTTCCATTTTACAAAACCACCAAACAAGGGGTGACCCTCAAGACACACCCCACATGAAGCATTGCAGATCAGTGGACTGAAACGCTGTGATGCTTCACGCACGGGGCTTCCACTTCAACCACTGGCTCATTTTACTAGTTCCAGGCAACCTCTCTCCGAGAGTACTTAAGCAAATGGTTGTCGTCCTTTTCTGAGTCGGTACCAGATTTTATGTTTTTTCCTCCCCGGTGGTTTTAAAGGGAAAAGGACACCCGCCATTGTGTTTTTTCTTTTCTTTTTGGATCTATGTCCGATTTGGAGGCGAGCACAGCGTCGGTCAGTTTCGCTGTGAAGCTGGAGCCGTAGCCCAGGAGCCATTTGTTGGGCATCCTCCTGTGCCTCACTTCGGTCGCTTGCTTCCAGCGAGCTAGACATCATCGCCCCTTTCATCGACCCGATCGCGATGGCTGCGATGGGTACGCTCAGTTGTCTGATGGCCCCGAGGAGATTTGAGCAAAGCCCTTGGCACGTTTAGGAAAGGGTCCTCTCTGGTCATGTGGATAACGGGATTGCGGCGACGCCCAATGGAAACCTGGCGATGTTATCTTGGCAGAACCTGCGGGTGGCCAACCTCGCTTATGGAAACGACCCAAACTGCTCGACTCTTGGTCATGGCAAACGAGAAGGTGATTACCTTTTGTTCTCGGTGTTTTGGTCAGGTGAACTCACGACGGTTGGCTGTTCCCCGGCATGGAGGTGTGCCAATCTCTGCAGAAGATGATGTACCTGTTGGCTGGTTTGTGATTCAAAGGACACTAGCATGTTGCGGCCTGTTGGTTGCCCACTGGCAAGGCATCACAGATGTTGATAGTGCCTGAGCAACAACTCAAGCGTTTGGCATGCCAAGAATTCATGCATGTGAATGAAGTAACCCATGCGTTGTCGACGCTGTTCCCGCAGGTGATGAACATCAACAAAAGGGATCCCGATTCGAGGCATGTGACTGTGCGTTACTCCACGAGTCATGGGTTTCATTGTTGTTGGTTTCTCTTTGGACCATCTATCTCTTGACCTTTTGCTGTTTTGCCGACCAGTAAAACGCCTCTCACTTGGGGATAGTTAGACTCATGGGTTCCTAATGGCGCGAGAAGTGCCCAGCGTCGCAAGCGGCCCAAAGATGTCTGGCTGCTTGCAGTCTCCCGCAGCTGGACTCGGCGAAAAGAAACACGGCCCCTGTAGCGTGGTCGGCTGCCCGAAGGTTCGGCTCAGAAGGGTTTCCAGGGGCAGCCGGAGGTTATTTGTTACAGTAGATGTCTGACAAATGCAGACTGCAAAGAGGCATGCGCACCTGATTCCAAGTGAGATCTCCGCATATTCACATCTCCGTGGAAAACCAACTAAAGACCACGATGCATTGAAATAGGCGGCCACTAAGCAGGTCGCATGTGACAGGATATGTATTAGGCAGGTGTTGTGTTGGCAGTGGATGGACAAAATCGGTTTCGCACCATTCAAGAACCACGGGAAATCATAGTTTGTTGGAATTTTCAGGGGAATCATCAGAAACCAGGGGGTTCTTAGGCGGTGCAGGATTTCGTCCATCTACAGTATGGCAGTGATTGTGCTTCGCAGGTCTAGAACAGAGCCGCAGCGACATTGGTTACAGACTTCGTTACAGATCTGTAGCAAGACCCGCTGGCTCGCTACACACATATCTTCGTTACGTGTACCTCACATTAACTAAACAACCTGGCTGGTTGCATGCGCCCCGTTACATGCCCCGATGGATACCCAGACTCTCGAGGCACTTCGCATGGGTTCGTGCATAGCAAACTGTTGCAGAGCATGCTTCCGCAGAACAGTCAACTTGTGGAGAGCTTGTTCTTGAGAAGAAAAGTTTGGAACAGGTAGCAGGAAGGTGCCGGAAGCAAGAATGCTCTTTCTGTTCTACACCTCATTGCCCGCCTCGTCACATAGCCATTACATACCTCGGTGCAGACGCAGCCCCAGTCTGGGCCAGCGACCCCCTTTTCCCCGTCACTTGGCTTGCGATTGAATAGTGGCAAATGTGAAGCTGGAGCTGCGGAGGTGGGCTTTGCGTCGCTTGCACGGGATAGTTGCGACTTTCGAGCTGCAGCACTTTGTTGCGCTTTACATGGTGCTACTGATACTTGTCAAGCACTCTTTTCCTGCAAGCACCTCCGTAACAAGAACCCCCGTTGCTTACCTCCGTAACAAGCTTACGTACCTTGAAGAAAGGCCATAGCCGTAGAGAGAGGGAGAGAGAGAGAGAGAGAGAGGCAGAGAGAAAGACAGAGAGAGCGAGAGAGGGAGAGGAACGGGAAAAAAGGGAGAGAGGGGGGAGGGAAACATATATAAGACAACAAGGTGCTCAATGCCAAGCGTCTTTATGGCTGCGAAGATTGTACCACGCCATTGTTGACATGCCCGCCAGGCGAAAGCGGGCTTCGCCACCAAGCGGAGGCTGTCAGGGAGATGGTCTCAAAAGCAGGATTCATGGATATCAAGGGTGAAGAACCCTGGTCGGTGTAACCAGTGTCCTTATCGAGCAGGTTCCCTACTACCTATGTGGCTCGCAAGTTTGCTGGTTAGTTGGTGGCATGGTTTGCTAGATTGCTGATGTGTTGGCCTGGTGTGCTGGCTCGTTGGCTGGCTGTTTGGTATGTTTGGTTGGACAGGATGAAAAAGTGGGAAAGGTTGCACAGGTTGGACAGGCTGACTTGTGAATGATGCCCCCGTCAGGAATCATACTCATAACATTCCTTGGGCAACCGCAGAACAAGGATGTATTTGCAAGTTATGGACCTGATAGCTTTGTAGACACTCTTTTGCTGTTGGATGGGCCTCATTTATACCCGAATAACATCAGGGTATTGCCGATTCGTCTAGATTCAAGGTTTGTTTGACCGGACAAGGACATGCTTGAGCTTGGATGGAGTTAAGGGAGTCCTGACCAAAGCTTACTTATCCAGGTTTAGTTTGATTGTTGTAGAGAAAAGATATCTCTTTTTGGAGGGCAGCGCCCTTCTGGATTTGTAGGAGTGGCCAGGAAAGCCCAACATCCGCAATGCCGAGAAAGACAGGCTTGGGTTTGGGCTGGGAAAGAACGGACGCTGCAGTCAGGAATCCGGGGTGGGCCAAAAGGGCTCTTTGAGTCCGGATCCACCTTAACTTATCTCAACTATCCAACAGAGGGAGGTTCAAGTTTTGGGACATACCTTTCCAGCTGCTGGTGTTTGCGCACAGTGTGGCGTGGAGTCTTGTGTTTGGTCGTTGGTTGGTATCAATTCCGTACGACCCTCCCGCACGGTTGATTGCCTGACATTGCAACTAGGCAACAAGTTCACACGACGTCCAAACCTTGCTTTGCAAGATTGTGCCCCTTCAAGTGAAGAATTTGTTTCAGTGGATTATAGAAGTCAGCAATTCCCACAACCGTGCTGCATCTGTTTCAGGCCCGCGAAACAAGCTCGTTCCACCCGCCAAACGATCTATATGGCGCACGCCACCAAAAATCATGGCTTGGTGCATGGAGGAGGTCCTGTCCAAAAGGAAAGTAGTGGTCCAAGAGGGGGCAACTCTGCACCACGCCATGTTGAGTATACAGTTCCTTTCTTTGCCCAGAGTTTTTTTGAGGGCAAGGCCTTCAGGCCTTTGGCTGGGTCACAGGCAACCAGCAGTAATTTCCACCGGAACTCGCCAATCCCACCAAAAAACAAAGGACTTTGTCAATTTCCTGGGGTTGCAGATTCTATTTGCTTTATTTTGCTTTAAAAGGTTGGATGGACAGTGAAGCCAAGAGGAAGCCACAACATGTTGCCGGGTTTCCCAATTGGCTCCCATGGCAAGCCACACGTTTCAGAGGCTTTTCCACGGTAGGGTCCACCCATTCATCTGGCGGTGGGTCAAAAATATGTACCCAAAATGGGTCAAACTCATAAATGGAAACATGGGCCAAAACCTGCCCTCCATATCCTGTTGGTTTATTTTTGCCCAAACAGCTCTTGTTCGGTCAAATTTGGACCCATACCGTTTCTTTTTTGGGGGAGGGTTAGACTACAGAAAAAAGGAAACGGTACCAACTTATTCTAACCTCTCAAATCTGGAGGACCTAGCCCACCCCTTCGTCTCGTCAGCGGCTTGGGTTCGACGCTTCGAGGCGCCCGGGCTGCGCCTTCGCGGAGCGCGTGGCCGCCTGCGCCAAGGCGGAGTATCTCCGGCGCCGGCCGGCGGCGGCGGCGGCGGCGCGGCAGACGGCGCCTCGGAAAGCGGCCGCTTTTAAACTTTGGTTCGCATTTTGCCAAGGGCTGTTAGGACTTTAACTTGTTGCCAACTATTTTTTTCCACTAAACCACTAAAAGTTAAACTTTTAGCAGGGGAGCAGAAAGCAAGCGAGTCAAGATGGCTAAACTTTAGCCAGTCTCGATCCAGGGATCCGTCTAGGAAATGTGCAACCCAGGAAGCACCAGACTAGGTCCCCCAGCTAGCTGCCCCTTTTGACCAACTTTTTTGGGTGGGAGGGTCCCCCTACTAAAATAGACTACCGAAAAAAGTTGGTAACCTTATTCTAACCTCTCTACTGGAGGACCTAGTTTAACATGGAACTTCCCTAGGGTGGTTGGATCATAAATCCCGATTTACAATGGTGTCCACCAAAGGGGACACAATGTTAAGAGTTGTACCCATTTTAATGTTGATCCCATATTAATTAGCCAACCTGTTTATGAACAGGGGGTGGCTTTTAGCCCCTCCAAAAGTGGTCTGATTCCCCACTAAACTCGGGGACACCCCCCCTATTAATAAACTGGGGTTGATTGATATGGGGTCAACATTAGCATGGAACTTTTCTAGAGCGGTTGGACATAAATCTGTCGATCACAGGGTACACAATTAAGATTTATACCCATGTTCCTTTACCGAGCCAGTTTCAAGGAGTTTCTGCTGGGTGGGGTGATGCTCTGTGTCCGGAAAGCCAACATAGCACTTGCGCATTGACCCAGTACATAATTGCCCTAGGATTTGCCGTCCTCGCCACTTGAGGCACCTAGCAACTTCATAAGGCCAGCGCAACCCAGAGTCCATGGCAAGTTACGGCAACAAATGCCTTCACACCCAGCAAATAGCAAGTATGATATTACCGACCTTGGATTCAGGAAATCACCTGGCGGATGGACAGGTCCCCCAAAGTCATTCAGATTCCTTTTGTGAAATTGGTCGCACCCTCTCATCAACCCATGAGCCTGGGCGTCAGGTTCGCCTTGGCTTTCCGAGGATTCAATACTTAGGCAATGGCACGAGCTTTCTTGGTGTGCAGCCAAAATAAGAAGAGCCAAAAAGGCAAAGAGCCAACAACCTGCCAAGGACTGACAAATCGACTGTATTCAGAGCCATTCGTCGGTTTCCCTGAGTTCAGCGTGAACTGATGTTCTGACCTTCTGAACCTGGTCATCCAAGCATCGAGTTTACAGAAATTCTCCCAGGATTCCTGTCCCCTCATCTTGGATCCTTAGCCCGCAGGAGTTTGTACGCTGTGAGGCTTCTTGACTTTTGACTTGCAGCCCTTCCGGCTTCCATATCAAGAAAACCATGACCATAGCCCAGAGAGCATGGCTTGTTTATGGTGGATCCTCAGCCTGAGTGATGTTGACGTTAGCAACTATGGCGATTTGTTTGTATCTAAACCGCAACAAGTACCTTTTTTTCCCTGGGGCAGGTGCTCAAAGAAAACATACGGCTGCCTTGTCCATGCCCAGCGCGGACATCACCAAACATGTGGCTAGGTCTTAGCTGCGGTGTTGGCGCTAGACGAGACTTCTGGAGACCCGGCCTCAGGATTGGCGATTCCGATAGCGGACAAATCTGGGGTCTCCGAAAATGTGTGTTACTTTGATGTCGACGATGAAACATAATCCGAAAGCGTGTTTTTGGTGTATCCCAGAGTTGGATCAAGAAATGTGGGAAATCAAGAGGAA